CTCGGTTTCTTACTGAGAGCACCCAGGTAAGGAAAGGACTTGAGCCATCCAGGGACAGCAATACCAGCTAGGCCTTCTGTTGTCTGGAGATTGAGTAAAAACAGAAGAGCATAGGAAAACACTTATTTTTTTAATAGTCTAATTCTCAGCGAAGTCAACTGTGTATTGTCAAGAGGACAATGGCCTTTTGAGCTTTTTGCTGCAAGAGCTTCATTTATAAAGGCCCGAGTCAGAGCCATTTGTCCTGAGGAGTAATGACAACCTGACTGTCTGGTCAGGACTCAGACAGCAGTCTGTAGGTGTGTTTTTCATTCCTTTAAATTACAGCCTCTCTCTGAGGCAGTTAATCCCAGGCATTTAACAAGAGTTGCTGCTGTGTGTCTCTCCCTTGTTCCAGAGATGCATTTTCTTGTATTTGGCATTTGTCTCGGATGCCTTATTGTTTGAAGGGTGTTTTTCTCCTTATAAAATCTTTTACAAGAAAATCTTATTTTCTTCCCCCTCTCCTTCCCAAATACCCCTCTGAGAGTTAATCAGAGATGCACAGAATTGAACAACTGGGAAAGCCATTAATAACTCCGCCAGCTTCTGTCCTGCTGGCTTAACGGCAGCTTCTGGCTGATGAAATTGATGAGGATTTCTCTGGTGTTTCCCTGAAAAGCATTTTGGTGACAGAGTCCTCCTGTGAAGGAGGAGCAGTACCAGCATATGTGCATATTCTGCTTCTTACTGGCTGGGTTTGTTTGCTTTTTTTCCCCCAAGTCCCCTTGAGAGAGGGCACAGGCTGTGTTCCATTCAGCCCCGGTACAGAGCACCTTCGCCATTCCTAAGGTGAATGGTCTGTCTGGGTCTGCCTTTCCCCCCTGCTCATCTGGCAGACAGCCCCTGGGCCACGCACATTCAGTCTCAGCCTCACTCACTTGGCCTTCTTCAGCCTGTGCAGCCTCGCCTCACGTTGATCTTACAGACAGCACTGAAGTGAGTGGCAGAGTCTGTGTGGCTTTGTAAATGCAGCATTAGTTTAAGTACTTTTAAGTCCTTAGCCCTTTTCTTGGAACTCTTAGCACTCTCCCTCTCCCTTTCTCCTGTTTCCCATCCCCGCTGCAGATATGCTATGCACTGAAATTGGTATCCTTGGCTGAACTGCTTACTTCTGAATCCTCCCTTCTTTCTAGGCTACAGAATCTAGGGTCATGAGTTGTTCTTTTCACCTCTAGTTTACTTGGAGCCTTGCCTTTAGTTAGGGATTTTTGTGGTCGGTACTAATTCCCAGAGCCTTTATCCCTCTCCTTGCCTCACTTGTCCCGCAGTCAAACCTTCTGGCCTTTGCTACCTTTCCCATTCCTGTTTTTAGGGTTTTTCCTGGAACAGTGTTGGAGCTGTTTTCTCCTAGATGTTCTGTGTTGTTCTCTCACTGTGTGTTCATCGCATTCCACAGTTTTCTAATAGTTCTGAGGCCTGTGCTCTCATTCCTGTCCTTCTATGCTAGAGTCCTCAGTGCTTTTAATTTTAAGTCTTCTCTGTATTTTATTGAGACGCCATTTAGCTCCTACTTCTCCATCATTTGTCAAGATGTCAAGCTGAGGGCCAGCAGATACATCTCCACTCAATGTATAACGTCTCTCATGTTGCCGAATGTGACCATCAGTCTGAGACTTTGTGTCTGAGCCAGCTGATCTCATTTGTATTTTCTTATATATCCCCCAGTAATCTGTGAATACTATAAATCCATTATCTCTGGCCATGTTTTGTGTCCCACCCCCCCTTTTTCATATGGAAGGAGAAACTGAATCAGAAAGGAGTTGATTGGGGCGCCTGGATGGCTCAGTCGGTTAAGTGTATGACTCTTGATTTAGGCTCAGGTCATGATCTCAGGGTCATGAGATCAAGCCCCGAGTTGGGGTCTGTGCTGAGCGTAGAGCCTGTTAAAGATTCTCTCTCTTTCTCTCCCCCACCCTACCTCTGCGTGTGCACTCTCTAAAAAGAAAGAAAGAAAGTTGTCGGTTTTAATAACAACGAAAAGAGGCTTGTGAATTATGTCGAAGGAGCCCAGTTTTCCCCCCAGCCCTGATGTATTTGTCCATTTTTCTAAATTGTCTCCCTGTGTCCTTTCACCAAGGCTTGTGCCCAAGTCTTTGAGCACTGGCAGCTGCTGATCAGAATGATCTAGTGCACTGGCTTCTCCTTCCCTATGCTTCAGCCCTGCTGACGCCAGATAGAGACCTGTTTGTTGTCCAGGGGGAGAGGAATCTTTGGACCTTGCAGAAGCCAGTTGTCAGCTCCGCAGTGTGATTGATTCTGGGAAGGCAGCTCTCTCGCAGAGCTATGGAGGAAGCACTTGCATTTATCCCATGGTGCTCCTTTCTCTGGCTTAGTTTCTAACCTTTTGAGGCTTAGGGACCCTTTTTAACTTCAAAATGTTTTCTAACTTTTCTCATGATAATTAACTGTACTTTTAGTGCCCATTGATAAGTAAAATATGCTGTTATGAAAAGCTGTCGAATTCATTTGTACTTTTTTTTTTTTTTAAAGATCTATTTATTTGAGAGAGAGAGAGGGAGGGAGAACATGAGCGAGCCTGGGGAGGGGTGGGGGCAGAGGGAGAGAGAGAATCCGAGAATCTCAAGCAGACTCCCCACTGAGCTGGGAGCCTGACTCCGGGCTTGATCTCATGACCTTGGGATTATGACCTGAGCCGAAATCAAGAGTCGGACGCTCAACCGACTGAGCCACACAGGCGCCCCTCATTTGTACTTTAAAGTGAATTGGTACTTTGATCAAAATTTGAAGCTACATATATTTGAAAAATCATAATATGCTTAATTTGAGAACTATCTTATTTGTTTGATACTCATTTTTTTCTGTATGCATGTGGCTACCGAGATCTTATAACAATTTGTGGGCTCCCCAGAGCTGCAGTCTACTGGTCAGGAACTTCTGATTTCATTGTTTTTTTGTTTTTGTTTTTTTTTTATTTATTTGAGAGAGAGAATGAGAGAGAGAGTACATGAGAGGGGGGAGAGTCAGAGGGAGAAGCAGACTCCCTGCTGAGCAGGGAGCCCAATGCAGGACTCGATCCTGGGACTCCAGGATCATGACCTGAGCCGAAGGCAGTCGCCCAACCAACTGAGCCACCCAGGCACCCGATTTCATTGTTTTTATAACCTTTTTACTTTCCATATAGTCTCTTCTTTTCTCTTTCTCTCTTTCTGTCTCTTTCCCCTTTCCTCTCCCTTCATCTGTAGAGTTTCAAGTCAAGGGGATATGATATGTTAAGGAAAACAATAGTATGCCTTCTCTTTGGGGAAAATAAAGAGCAAGTGCTGACTTTTAATGGATCAGCTTCCAATATCTCTCATATTGATTTCTCTGTTAATGCTCAGCATCCAGTCCCACCAAGATATAAAAACCTTCCTAGGCTTTCATTTCTGGCTTGTAAAGCTCCCAGTGGTCCATTTGAAAGCTAAAGTATTAACTTTAGTTCCAGGGCCAGTTTGAAGATGATCTCATTAAGTTGAAGATAATCCAAAGGGAGAATTCAGAAAAAATACCAAATCAAGCTTTCAGAGGTTCATTTATTTTGTGAAGTTGGTTAAGCAGCTAATTAACTGCACTGTCCAGCCGGTGCCCTTTGGCTTATTGTTCCTTTGATGCATTAGAAACTAAGCCACGTGAAGTCCCTGTCTTGTAGGAGGCAGTGGAGTATAGTGGAAAGAGCAAGGGCTTCAGAATCAGATAGATATGCTTTGAATCCTGCCTCAGCCACTTACTAGTTGTGTGACCTTGGGCATTTGCCTTCCTGGTCCTTAGTTTCCATATCTGTAAAACAAAGCTAATAATACCTCATGGGATAGTTAGAAGGATTAAATAGGGTAACATGTTAATAACCTTTATATTAGAGGGGCGCCTGGATGGCTCAGTCATTAAGCGTCTGCCTTAGGCTCAGGTCATGATCCCAGGCTGCTGGGATCGAGCCCTGCATCGGGCTCCCTGCTCAGCGGGAAGCCTGCTTCTCCCTCTCCCACTCCCCCTGCTTGTGTTCCCTCTCTCGCTGTCTCTCTCTGTCAAAATAAATAAATAAAATCTTTAAAAAAAAAAAAAAAACCTGGGGCGCCTGGGTGGCTCAGTTGGTTAAGCGACTGCCTTTGGCTCAGGTCATGATCCTGGAGTCCCGGGATCGAGTCCCGCATCGGGCTCCCTGCTCAGCAGGGAGTCTGCTTCTCCCTCTGACCCTCCCCCCCTCATGTGCTCTCTCTCTCTCAAATAAATAAATAAAATCTTTAAAAAAAACCCAAACCTTTATATTAGAACTTAGTAGATATTTAATAAATGGTGGTTATTACTATTGCTTTAACAGACCATAAAGAAAACACCTAGACTTTCTTCTGTTTACTCGAATGCTTGGGATTACATTGTCTATACTCTTCATCATTGCCAATTTTGCAGTCTAAAAGGGACTGCCTAGTCTTTTTCTTGTGTTGTTTTTCTTTCACTTTTCATGAGTGATTTTTTTTCCCCACATCAAAGACCTAAACAGACTCATTTAGAGATAACCATTTGCTGAATGAAGTTGATGGGGGAATTCTTTTCTTCCTTCCAGATTCCCCAAAGCCAGAGTTTCTCTGTATCTTTCTTTCTTTTTTTTCCTCTGTATCTTTCAATCTAGAAAGAGAAGTTTATATATTTCCATTCTGGGTCCCTTGGAAGATCTAAACTTGATTTCCATTTCAGATGCTACAGGGTTCAGAGATCACATTAACTCATGAAAAATCATCCTCCTTCTTACTGAACTGTCAGCAAATGCTCATAAATCTTTTAGTTGAGGTACTCCAGAAATGTAATATATTGTGCCATCCAAATTAGTAAGCAACCTGATGACTAATTTCTCTGGGTTCTTCACCTAAGTGTAGAAATTTCGTTTGGGGAATGTTTGTCTTTTGGGCTGATGGCTGGTTCTGCTTAAGTGACTCTCTTATATACAGTCTTCTTGTTTTCTCCAGGGACAATGGTGACAGATCCAGGCACCGAGCTCCACGCAATGCCCGGATGTCTGCACCTTCACTTGGACGCTTCGTTCCAAGGTAAGAACTGGGTAGCCAGCCTTTGTGAGGGAGCCTTTATGAGAGCCTGGGATTTCGTTTTTAAACCTACTTTCTGGACTTTGGATTCCGTATCTGGAATTATTTCCTGGTGAGCCTATAATCCAGCCCTGCCACTTAAAGACTTGATAGGAGATGATTGGCCACAATGAAAAGAGATAGAAAAGTGCCTGGGGAGTATCCTATTCAGGATTAGAAGCCTGCGAAACTGCAGAAGAAAGATCAGGAAGGAGATACAAGTCTGCAGAAGGACAAATTCCAGGAATTTTTATAATGTGCTGGGCTTCTGTGGATTCCTAAGTTTAGTGGATCCCTTAGCCTTGGTTATTGGGGGGTAGGTGGATAGTATATCTCCTTTGTTTTATGGTAGTCTTTCATAGGCTTTTCACACGTGGTTCCTTCTTATAGGCGTTTCTTGCTGCCTGAGTACTTGCCTTATGCGGGGATTTTTCATGAACGTGGACAGCCTGGCTTGGCTACTCACTCTTCTGTTAACAGGGTCCTGGCAGGTAAGGAAATGTTTCTTCGGATTTTGAAAAGTTGAAGGGGCAGGGAGCCAGATAAAGCTTTCCCCCCCTTTACCTATGTTGATGTAATGGCATCTTGTCATGTGGCTGAATACTCTGTTTTGAGGTCTTGTACCCAGTTCCTTACTTCCAAGGCAGAAAACTAGAATGCAGCGAAGCTGTTTATCTTGCCCATTCCCACTTCCTTCAAATATCTTTTTTTTTTTAATTGTTTAAACTCTTTGTTTCTTAATCCAGCAATTAGATTCTAGCTATGCTTTTAATTGAATGATAAAGGTGTTTTGGTTGGTGAGATACTCATGAACCAGATCCTGTGATTTAATTAGGAGCTTAATGCACACCTCTGCAACCCTTCGCTCATCTGCCAGCAGATGGAGTTTCCAGGCACTGTGGAATCTTCCAGGGAAGGAGGAGGAGGAGAAGAGACCCATAAGGCTGGCTCAGAAACCTCAGAAACAGAAAATGGGCTGGACAGTGCCAGTTGGGGCAGTTTTATGGTGACTGAATAGCTTAGTGACCGTTTTTGGCCTAAGCTACGTGGTGTGACCAGGCTCTCAGACGTAGTACGTGCTGCTGCTTCTGGGCAGTGTCTAGAGAAGGAAACAAAGCAGAATTCTGTTTTTTTTCTGACAGAGGTTATTTCCCCACCACACTCTTTCCTCCACTTCCCCCTCACCTCCAGTGCCAACCTCTAAATTTATGTATGTGAAGGCATAAAAGGTATAAAAATCAGTCCACGTTTAGGTGTGTCTTTAATAAGCATTTATTAAAAATTCCTTAAAGATACTATGTTTTGGAAAATCTGGGCCATGTAGTGGTTAAAGGTAGGAAGGGATCTGGGTGAGGCAGTAACACTGTCAGCCTGGGAGAATGTGATTTCTAACCAAGCTATGACAGCTGGAAGGCCACAGGATCTCTGGTCTCCCCTAGCTAAGACTATCCTTGACCCAGTGTCAAGGCCTAGAAGTCCTAGAAACCTCAGTGGTTTCTCTGCTAGCCACCAGACTCTTTGTCGGCCCAGCTTGGCCGGGGAGCAGACTATATCTGGGTCCCCTGACAACCTTGTCTGAGGACCTCTGGCCCTAGTGGGTAAGCAGACGCCATGCCTCAGTGCCTCTCCATGCTTGGTGTTTCTGTGTGGCTTGGCTGATGGCATGTGGAAGCTCCTCACTGGCAGATAATCACTTGCTGCCAGGCAATACTATAGAGCTCTTCTCCACCCTTTGTTCCACACATCTGCCTGCATCACCCCACACAGCACCTCCTGTTCCTCTACTGCTAGAAAATCTGTTTCCTTGGCATTTAGCTTTGCTTGGGAACAGCTCTATGTTTATTTCTTCCTTAGATTTAAGAACTCTACTGCCATTTCCTGTTTCCTACTTTATGCCCAGAGGTCTGACCCCCAAATGGCCCACTTTCACTTATGGATACTTTTGAATATAGGGGTTGTGTTCCAGCAGGCAGCTGTTAACAGATATGAAATCTACTGAGAAAAGTTCTCAAAGAATGCAAAGTATCTCAAGGGGAAGGAAATCTAGATTCTCAAGAACCTCTCTCTTGAATTAGGTTAGCAGATGGTTTCCATTCACAATTAAACCAGTTTCTTCTGTTTTCTCAAGATACACATTACAGAGAACCTATTGGTCTTTTCATAAAGGCCCTCAACGTTTGTAGATACAGGTTTCCTCTGCTGTCCAAAAGTAGTGTGTTTCTACGAAACCTTATGCAAGCCAAAATGGCGCAAAGCGAAGAAGCAATTACCATTAATTTATATGGAAAACATTTTTAGTATACCCAAACCCAAAAAATAACCTCTCTCAGGCTTTTCTGATACCTTAGGACACATCTTGCTAACAGATGCACACAATAAATTGAGATAAAGCACAGATGTGCTCACAGACACAGTTCAAAGCTATGGCAGCTTGATGCTGAGAGTGCATGCTGCCTCTGTAACAGCTCACTGTAAAGCAAATGCTGAACGCTATTGTCACTTTTCACCTTTTTTCATAAGAGTGAAAGTCCTCTTCAGATTTCCTTCAGTTAGTGAAAACAAGGTACTAATGTTGGTCTTTTGTAAAAGTGAAGTGGTGTAACACAAACTTTCAAGAAGTGGGGGGGGGGGGGTACCTGTGTTTGGATGTCCCTCCAGATTCTGTTGACAGCTGTATTACTTCTGTTCGTCTCTTGAGAAAATTCCAAGAATAATAACAACAACCAAAAAAAAAAAAAAAGCCTAACATTTATTGAGCACTTGCTGTATACTAGAGAGTATTTTAAATGCTTTTCCAGTTATATTTCATTTCTTTCTTGCAATAATCCTGAGATAGGTACTATTACCTAATTAACAGTGGAGGAAACTAAAGCCCAGAAGGCTAACTTGCCCAGGGTGATACAGCTAGAAGTTGAGGAGCCAGAACTGAACCAGGCAGTGGGACTCCAAAGCTTCCTAGTCTGCCTCCCTACAGTTATTTTAAAGGACAAAGTATCAAAATAGCATGCTTCTTCTAGGACCTTAATCTGGAAGAGGGAAAGAGCTCCCAGGGAAATTGGCTGATTTCCAGGGTTTTTCTTAATTGCATTAATTCCTGTTTTATTTATTCATTTACTTATTTATTTAATCTTTTTAAAAGATTTTTATCGTCAGAGAGCACGAGCACACAAGCAGAGGGAATGGCAGGCAGAGGGAGAAGCAGGCTCCCCGCTGAGCAAGGAGCCTATTGCGGGACTTGATCCCAGGACTCTGGGATCATGACCTGAGCCGAAGGCACTTAACCGACTAAACCACCCAGGTGTCCCTAATTCTTCTGTTTTAAGCAGTTTCTAGACATAGCCTTTTATGACCCAGTGGTGCTTGCTGAGGAAAATCATTATGTAGTAGCCCTTTCTTTGAGCCTTCTAGCCCTCATGGATGCAGATTTTTGCTTTTTATTAAACTTACTGTGATCATGTAATAGAGCTCCTGTGATAACGGCTTTTGGAGTGAAAGACAAATTGGCCTGTTAGCAGTAAGCACTCCCAGTTTTCCTGGAAAGGCAATTTCACTTGTATGATTGGAATGACGTTGTAATGGTTTCAAAACAATTATATTCAACAGGTATTTGTTGTGTAGCTATGTGCCCGGGACTGTTCTAGGCTACCAGAGTGAATAAGAGGCATGATTCCTGTCCTCCTATAACTCCCAAGTCTAGATGGTTGACCATACCTCAATCTGGCTGTTTGGTTCTTAGCTCCAAACATAAAGCCAAACCTTTTTTCTTTTTTTAAAGATTTCATTTATTTATTTGAGAGAGAGAGAGAAAGCACGAGCAGAAAGAGGGGCAAAGGGAGGGGTAGAGGGAGAAGCAGGCTCTTCACTGAGCAAGGAGCCCGATGAGGGGTTATCCCAGGATCCTGGGATCATGACCTGAGCCGCAGGCAGATGTGTAACAGAATGAGCCACCCAGGTGCCCCAAAGCCAAACCCTTTGAAAGGTGAATGCCTTTTTGCAGGGGTGAAGCAAAAACACACCTGCAGTATTTGGAGGTGTGACCAGTACTGTGGTGGCAAATGAGTCTCCAGTGGACCCATAGCCAAAGCCATTCAGAGTCATCAACAAAAAATGGATTTGCAGAAAATTAAGATCCATTCTACCCACTTCCTCCCACATGAACCTGAGAGTGGTAATAGAAAACAGAAGTTACTACAGAGAAGTGTTTTGATTGTTAATTTCCATCTCTTCTTCTTTATCTTACTGCCTTCCCCACAATTCTGTAGGTTCCTGGTGGCCTCTAGTCACCCATCAACCCATGCCATGCCCCTTCTTTGGTAACACAAATTCTGAACCTATACTTAAAGTAGTGTAAGTAAATTTAAAGCTCCTGCAACTCTGTCAGGTGTATTTCTGGGGAAACACACAGAAGTCTGGGGAGCTCCCCCTGCTGACTTTTTAGTAGACAGCTCTAGCTCTGTGCAGTAACAGCCACTGATAATAAAGAAGGACATAAAGTTAATGACTGCCTACAATGAGCCACGTGCTGTCCTAAGTGCTTTCCCATATATTACCTCCTGTAATCATTATGGCAACCCTGTGAAGTAGATCATGCATTTCCGTTCTGCAGGGAAGAAAACTGACATTCAGAGAAGTTAGGTCACTTGCCCGATATAACACAGTGAGAGGCAGACCTAGAACTTTAAACCAGGTCTGTCTGCCTGACTCATAATCTTCTGTGCCATGTTTTGCCTGAGTTCAAGTAGGGGGTATCTGCCAAAAGGCTTGTAAGCTTACAATTTTTTCTGCATGTTTGAAGCCTCATAAAAGTGAAATGAGAAGCCCTGGCAATTACTGGAAGAACAAAAAACTTCTGAGGGATAGAGACCTGGGTAGTGTAGGGTATTAGTTATATGTCCTGCCTAATCTTTTTGACTTTCATCCTAATGAGCATCTGTTCCCAGCAGATGTGGGCCTGATGTACTTAATTTAGTGTTTTGATTAAAATCAATGGGAAGTGTCAGGGTTTTCTTGCTCCTTGCTGCAGGTCATTGGGGCCTGGTCGAGTGTCCTGGGCTATAGATGGCTTTGTGCCCAGGCATCCTAATTTTTCTCTTATGATCTCTTCTTTGACCCACTAGACATTTAGGAGTATGTTCTCCAATTTTCACATATTTGTGAATTTCCCAAATTTCCTTCTGTTGTTGGTTTCTTATTTAATGTCACTGTGGTATATGATTTCAGTTATCTTAAATTTATTGAAACTTGTTTTATGGCTTAGCACATGGTCTGTCCTGGCATATGTTACCTGTGTGCTTGAGAAGAATGTGTATTCTGTTGTTGTGTGGAATGTGCTGTAGATGTTGGGGAGAACTACTTGGTTGATAGTGTTGTTCAGGTTTTGTATATCCTGGCTGATTTTTGGTCTAGTTGTCCTACCCTTTGTTAAGAGTGAGGTATTGAAATTTCCAATTATTATTGCTGAATTGTGTATTTCTCCCTTTAGTTTTGTCAG